ATAGTTGGTGGTAACATGAAATGACACCTACCGAACTTCGATTGAGTTAAAGAACATGTTGTTTGAGCACAGCTCTCATAAATGAGATACGTTTTTTTAAAATGTCACTTAGTTATTTATTTCATCAATGAAATCAAACTATTATTGAATTTAGTGCTTTTATAAGGCAGAACTATTATCCAATTCCACAATAAATTGAGTTAGATTATCGCAATTTTCAGAGTTGGATGAAGAGTGCTGGCGAGTGGCCTATACTCCTCCATGAGAGGTAACGGGTGTAAGTAATGTGTCATGTAAACAATTAATGACACTTTTATTTCAATATGAATTATTTGTTTAAATTAATCAAACTGTCTAGAATCTGATTATCCTCAGATAATTGATTGAATGGTATAGTTTAGCTAATAAATAAATAAATAAAATGTCACTTCAAACAGATGAGTAGATGTTATAACGCTCAGTTTTATTTCTTCTACACCTATGGGATATTAATTTACCTTAGACGAATATCTACACTTGATTCTCTCCCAATATCCATTCCGCAGGACTTCAACACAACTCAGATCAAGAACACATGATTTGCCTGACTATTTTCACACCACAACCCGACACAATTCAACAGCAATGAATTGGAAACATCCAGAATAAACATGAACACAACTAAACTAGAATTCCTAAGATTCCTAAAATTTGATCAATCTCATGATTTTATTGAAGAATACGATATATGACTTAACCTCAGATGGATTTTGTGGATATTATAGTAATTTCAGTGGTTAAGATCATAAGTCAGTTGAGGCTAGATCACCATGGAAAACCTGGAAGCACTGGATGGCCGCTTCGTCCTTTTGTGGGACTCCTCAGCAGTGCGCATCCACAACCTCGCCCCCTGGGAGATTCGAACCCAGGACCTACTGGTTTTGGGCTGAGGAGTCCCACAATAGGATGAAACGGCCGTCCAGTGCTTCCAGGTTTTCCATGATGGTCTAGCTTCAAGTGACTCATGATCGTAACCATGGATATGACTTAACCGCTGAAAAGCTCATCAGGTTTCTAAACATGATCAAAAGTATGAGTGAACTTTATTATCACCATTACTGGTACTTAATTCAATGTAGTTTTCCTTAAGCAATTCAATACATCATACAATGTTTCCAATTACATTGTATCTAAACGGTAATAATAGCAACTATTTTATACTGAACACGAAGTTAATATATAAATGAAAGTTGAACTCTGGTGTGATTAGACTGCTTAATGTGCATACCATGGTGAAGATAATACATCCATCATTTTTTAAACGCACATAGTGATGTATTTATACCATATGTATGGTATATCTTACTGTGTTTATAATTCATTCTTTATAATAGTAACTCTAAGATTACAGCATGGATTATCGTTATGGAGTGTATTCCACTTTTGGTATTTTGTATTCATTATATCCTTTACATTATTAATCACTTACTTACTTACTTACTTACTTACTTACTTACGCCTATTACTCCTAATGGAGCATAGGCCGCACACCAGCATTCTCCAACCCACTCTGTCCTGGGCCTTTTTTTCTAATCCCATCCAATTCTTGTTCATTTTTCTCATATCCGTCTCCGTTTCCCGACGTAATGTATTCTTTGGTCTTCCTCTTTTCCTTCGGCCTTGAGGGTTCCATGTGAGAGCTTGTCTTGTGACGCAGTTGGGTGCTTTCCTCAATGTGTGTCCTATCCACTTCCAGCGCTTCTTCCTGATTTCTTCCTCCGCTGGGATCTGGTTTGTTCTTTCCCACAGTTGGTTGATTAATCACTCTATAGCATATTTATTCTATATTTATGAATAATATCTGTGTAAATAATCGGACTTTATTCTTTCAAAGTATGGAGTATGATTCTTCTGTTTTATGAAATAACTCTGTAATCAGTTGTCCTCACCTGTATTCTCCTTTACTATCTTATAAAATAATATTATAATTAAGCCAATTTGTAACGGTGTTTAATAAGGTTTCGGATCCTCATCGATTTTCTTTAGCTGTATGAACTATGAACAATCATATTTATATGATATACTAGATGAGAGAATGATTGTAGCCAGTAAATTAAAGTTCTAGGTGAAATATTGGAAAACAAGTATCGATGAGATTATAATTTATTAACGAACCAATCAGGGATAGGAGAGCAAGTCTCGGATTTTGGAGCGAAATTCACTCATTCATTCGGAATAATAGAGGTTTGGAATTATAGCTGATGTCAGTTCGTGATGAAAACCCTAAATCTAATTTCTTGTTATATCTTGTGAATCTGTATGCCCTGTTATTGGATAACGCAACGATACCGCCAATCAGAGAGCGGCGAATTGTCGACCGAACCAGTGACGCATAAAACACGTGCGAGCAACCTAGAGTCCTTATTGATCTCGCTTCCTGTCTAGCCCAGCCAGTTGATTCCAGAACACCAATCTCAGCCTCTGCAATATGAATCATTTATTTCAAAATACGGGGTTTATATACCAATCAAACCAACCACATCGTACCATAAAATAGAAAATAACATTTGTTCAATATTTGGCCAACAGTGGCTGTGAATGAGGGAGATAGTAATTAATAGACAGGCCATAACACAAGAATGGTAAATCGTATAGCAATAGTCTATGGGTCAAATTAAAGCTTATAATAAGAGGAATATGAATATGCATAGTTTAGTTAATTAATAATTATACAATAGAAATATACGTTTAGTATTGGTCCATAAATGGATCCGAAAAACTACCATTCATTGTTCCTATTGGGATATAACATTTCTAACCATAATCATTCAGTGTAAATCATAATTCTAATTCCTCACACTTGTTTATAAACCTCATTTGGGCCTAGTTATTAGATGGCTACTCTCAAGGTCAGTTCAGCATCGCTCGAACATCGTCCATAAATGATAGTCTCAACCAAGTACCTTTATAGAATGAATAATTCACAGAATACCATTAATTATTTCTTTGAAAAAAGAGCAAATTCTGATCAACAAATAGAACATTTTAAATCAACTCTTGTAGGCTGTTGTTACAAAAACACTCTTACAAAGAAACATAAGGAAGCTATTAACCTATTCCTAAAGGATGAGACGTTATTGATTACGAAATCTGATAAAGGTTCAGGAGTTATTCTTCTTAATAAAACTGATTATATTGACAAAATTGGTATCATCTTAGATGAAAAATTAAATTTTTAAAAAAAATTGCCTGACCAGAAAGATTTCAATAATCAGATATAGAATGAGCTTACCAGATTTTTGAAAAAGCTCAGGGACTAACAGGCTATTTTCTCGGGTTTATATGAAATGATTAAACCAGTGGGAATCTATCTGTCAAGATTGTATGGAATGCCAAAGGTACACAAACCGGGGATACCATTAAGACCAATTTTAGATATGTATAAATCTCCTCGTCATACTATAGCTAAATGGTTGGTAACTATATTGAAACCTTTTCACAAAAAACATATATAAGGGTGATATCTTTGGATGTAACATCATTATTCAAAAATGTTCCGTTCATAGAGACCGTAGAATATATAGGTGAACAATGGATTGAAAATGAAATTGAAACTACAGTTCCTGTTAATGTTATAAAAGAGATATCACTGAAATGTACCATGAATGTGAATTTCAAGTTCAACGGAGAAATATATAAACAAACGGATGGTGTTGCAATGGGTTCACCGCTGGGCTTTATACTAGATAACATTTTTCTAGCCAAACTAGAAAATGGTGCACTGAAAAAGATTATTTAAAAATTCACATTTTACTGTAGATATATGGATGACACGTTCATCCTCTGTAAAGATAATACGTCACAGCAAGAGGTTCTTGGGCGATTTAATGAAGTACATTCAGCCATTCAGTTTACATCTGAAGAAGAGAGTAATGGTCGAATAGTCTTTTTGGACGTTCTCCTAATTAAGAGAGCAGATGGATCGTTAAAAAGGAACTTAAACAGAAAAGGTACATGGACTGGGCAGTATACGCAAATTCTTAACTTTTGCACCTCTACAATACAAACGAAACTTGGTCAAAACTTTTAGTTACCGAATACGCACTATATGTTCTGCGGATATAGTTGAAGATGAGCTTAACACGTTGCATAGTGCTCTTAGGGACAACGGTTACCCTAGGATTTTTATGGATATTATAGTAAGTTAATAATTGAGTACATGAGTTGATTGAAGCTAGACCACCATGGAAAACCTGGAAGCACTGAATGGCCGTTTCGTCTCACTGTGGGACTCCTCAGCAGTTCACATCCACGATCCCACACCGCAGGATTCGAACACAGAACCTATCAGTTTCGAGCTCGAGTGCTTCATATGCGGTAACTATAAACGATGTACTTTGCCCTTAACCTGGTCACTTTTTAGATTATTAATTTGGATATATGAATTGTAGAATCTAAAGAGAATCTATCTTTGTTCAGATATTTAATCTTTTCAAAGACTATATAATTAAAACAAATTTTGATAGTGATTAGTAATAGAACCAAAGATTCTCCTTTCGTCAACTAAATATACAGATCACCTAATGTTGACCTATTTATATCATGAATTGAACCATGTATCTTTCACTTCAATTACACAACTGATCATCTACTTACCTATTTAGTTCAAAGATAAATGATACATAAATGAATAGAGAAAGTAGTTTATGTACTAAATGAACTTTTTTTAAAAAAAAAGTTAGTTTATATCATACGACTAATCAGTTTTGAATATACAGCAGACATATTTATATATAGACTTTTAATGATATTCTATGACACTTTTGTTTTTCTCTTTTTAAGGTGAATAATTGAAAGTGAAATTCTGATTGGTTTATAATGAATTGCGCACTTTAAAATCATAGTTTATTTTTAAAGACGGTGATCTAGACAATCATACATAAATCACCATATATACATATATATATATATATATGGATCTAGATTTGGATCAGGATCTGGATCTGGATCAAGATTTGAATATTCATTTTCAAACAAACTACAAAGTACATTTCATAATATACCTATTGAATATTTTAGATGTTAATTAGTGTCTATTCTTTCTTTTAATATCATCATATGTTTAAAGAAAATCAATTCTATATTGAAATATAAAACAACGAACAACTAACAACAACAACAACAACAACAAAAAGAAAAAAAGAAAAAAAAGAGAAAAAAATGAAAAAATTATTTTATTTTATCTTGATAATCTTCTTTTTACATTTATTTCTCATTAAAAAATCCATAGAAATTCATTTGAAGAATACAACACAAAGTTTATTATCATTAAATACAGATTATATAACCATCATGGATTATCCAATACGTATGTGTGGTAATGAATTTTTAAAAAATCTTAAACGTGTTTGTTCTATACGTGGAATATATACACCAATTAATCGTTTAAAAAGATCATCATCCTCCTCCACCTCCTCCTCCTCCTCATCATCAGAACAATATTCTAGTAAGTTATGATTATTATATGATTATGAATCTTTGATAAGTTATCTTCATTGTCAATTATTATATCATACAAGAGCTTAGTTTCTTCTTATGAATACCATGTATAACATGAGAACTCGAATGCCAGAACTCTTTCAAGTCGTAAATGAGATGATAGAAAACAAATGAAAAGAATATTATTCTAAACAGTGTCATTTTATGGTACAGAAATGTCAACTATTTATAGTTTATGAGTAAAAATGAAATCATCAATATAGAATTTGTCTAATAAAGGAGATACATGTAGGGATTCTAGAATATTCTTCGGTTCTTTCTGAGCTGCTTAGAGCTTCCTCGGATTCATCTATGAACCTTCCTCACATTTATGAAACTTAAAGCAATTACTGTATATGGTTGAATGATTGATCAATTCGAACTAATGTATTAACTATGAATTATTTTCTTCATTGTTTAATAACATTTATTTAGCATTGGATGACTTATTCAGTGTACATTAAACCGAAGAACCATGTACCTATTTATATTTGATAATTTTGTTGTTTGATTATATTTTCCTTGAAAAAGCTTGGACCAGATTGCCAGGCGAAACGTTGGATTTACTTAAAATTCATTCGCTGAGATTTTACAAATATATTCTTCTTTTTAATATCTCAAATTAACTCGGCTCCCAAATATTGTGAAACTATTCGTTCAAATTTAGACGAAAGTTCTCATTTATTTAGCAACTGTTTATATATATTCGAATATTTGATGTTTACATGGTAAGTTTTCGGTTGATATCCCCTGAAGAAACATGACACTAACGGCCTATAATTGACTAGTAGACTTATGAAATCACAATTTAGTGGCCATTTAATTCAAATAATCGATATTTATCATTTTAGTGATGAAAAGTTCACGAAGCTGTTCTATCGTCCTAAACTTAAATCCCTTGGAATGTCAATACATATAATTGAATGACATTTTTATTTGATTTTAAGACTACCGTAAATTATATACATTTATTATCAGACTACAAATTGAATGCAGGACCTCAATATGCTATCGAATAAGCTTTTACTATCATCTTATGAAACAAAAGAAATGGGCCACTTGATACAACTGTTTGAATGGCAATTTCTCATTGTCATTACTACTAATTAAACAGCTAATAAGAAAGCCTGCTATTACCGCCTAATTTAACAGTAATGCTACTAACAAACTTGAGTTCGTTGATAAATGATTAGAAATTATGAGGCTGAGAATAGTATTATTCTTGACGGTAGATATTACTGGGCCTCTATGAGACTTGAATTACTAAACAAACTATAGGCAATTTATTTGTCTAACTTCAATTATTCAAAATGTAGTTCCACAGTGTCTGTTCACAAACGATACTCATTTCATTCTTCATTTACATGGTGCTCACTGGTCACAGTTTTTCACCAGAATTTTATAAAGTCTTCTAAAGCTACTTATGATTGATGATTAACGGTGAAATTGGAGAGGGGCTTCTAAAGAACTGGTTTTAGCTGGCAATTTTTTGAAAAACAAAGCCAACTCAACACCTGTTCTCCCTAGTTTGTTTCATTCAGTTTATTGTTTCATGTTAACCTATACAGAAAAAGATTTAACGTTGTATTACAAAGCATTAAATAAGAATTAGACCCTTGTTTATCCGTTAGAGGAAACTGGTGTACTGATTAACTAACAAGCAAAATAACTTGTTCCTGAAATATAATCCAATGAACAATCGTCACTGCTGTGTATCACATATAAGATTATCCGTTAAACATTTTGTTGATTGTATTCGTCTGCACCCTTTATGAATTAGGCGACCTATTAGAATGTTTAATATACGTGTTGAATTTAATCTCATCAATTTACTTTTTAGCAGTTACGGTCGATCAAAACTAGATGAGATTCATGAGTTATGACTGATGGAATGAACATAAAGTACCTTAAAACAGATTTATAAGATTAATAGCTTGTATATATCTGTATATGCATATATATGTATACATGCACAAAATTGATTTGCTGATTAACCGATTTCATTCATACTGGTGGTTGATTTTCAGTGTTCTCAAAAGCCATTGTCATTGAGACATTGTAAGGCTTGTCGCCATTGTTAATATTAATGAGTTTGACTGTCGTGTAGGCGGAATAGGTCAACTTTGCCTTATTCGCCCTGTGCATAATCGATTCACGAGATCATTGATCGGAATAACTATACATGTGACGTGAATGTGTATATGAATGGTGCGAATGGTCCACTAGGATGCTTGACACTTGTATGTTTACGCCACAGGATTGAGCTGTACTATTCAGATTGCAGCTTTAAAGCCTATAAGGTGTCTAGTTCTCCTGTGAAGGTTGACTGAAATGTATCTCTCAGGTTATAAAATTTAAGCCTGGATAGCGTCTTGTTATCCTGTTAAACGGGATTAAGCCGTGCTGTTTGGGTTGTCACGTGAAAGTCTGGGTGCTGTCTGGTTCTCTTGGAAACCGTTGTAAAATTACTTTGACCCACAAGGTATATTATGTAACTATATATTTATATAAACAAAAAAATAAGAGAATCCCTAACGATTGAAATGAATAGAATATTTTAATTAATTAGTCGTACTACTACTACTACTACTACTACTACTACTACTACTACTACTACTACTACTACTACGAATTGTTCTCCTGTGATCTTTTGTTTGTTGTTGATAAAATGATGTGTATAAAATCTCTCCAAGAGTAAATCTTATTTCATTTATATAAGTGACAGTGTTTCATGGTTTAATTACACAAAAGCAATGAGTAAACTGCCTAGATTATTGAAGTGAACATGAATGTTGGAGATGTTAGATTCCTAGAACTCACTTGATAAATGCCTTATTTTCAACTTCATTTCGTATTTCCCACTTACAAGGACCATAGATGCTATTGACTCGTTATCTCTTTTGGTATATTATTATGTAGTGTTTCCCAACGACATTTTTATGTTGTATATATACGCTTGAATTTCATTTATTGACGTTGATCTGGATGCTTATAGAATATATTTCCCTCTTTTGAACTCTAACTTCTCTCTCTAGTTAGCGGGGCTGAGACGCATAGGAATAGCTAGCTTATTGGTCATCGTGTCACTGAATTTTCATTCCGTTTTCAGATTAGTTGAACTTTTAATCTCTTCAAACATAGCGAATTTGGCGACTGCGATGGGATTCGAACACATATGAATGAATGAAATAAAATTCCTCATCTAGTTTGAATAACTTACTCATCGGAACAATTATGTTTTTTTTGCTCTTTAGTAATGTCTATTCATTTCAATTTTTGTGTTTAAGGGAAAAATGGGAATAAAGATAAATGAATTTTGATAGATTAGACTGTTTTCGTTTTATTAATAAAATGTCAAATATGAATGTCTATTGCGCAATAGACATAACAACCATAATAATCAATTAAAATGTATTTATCTTTTTTATGAATAAACTGCTGGGAAATCAAAAAAAGCTTTCTGGATGATGATGATGAGGAGGAGGAGGAGGTTGAGGATGATGATGATGATCATGATGTTTACAATTACGTCTATTCATGTATATGCAATGAAAATGATCAAATCAACATTAAAAAAATAGTTTAGATTAGTTAATGAATTAAATGACTGACTGGAATTTATAATTTTGTTTTACTTTATTATTAAGATAGAATCATCTATTATATAAAATATATTTACCTACGTATCCTATAAATTAATAGATATGAGTAAAATATGGTAATGCAAATGTATGAACAAGTTGAAATCAGGCTTACAATAATAGATATTTACTGACGCCTGTGACTCCTTGTGGAGGAACATAGGTCGCACACCAGCACTCGGTCTGTAGCTCTTCTAGAGTTATTGCCGGTCCCAAGTCCGGGTAAAGGAGAAGGGTTGAGCATAGCGTTCGCGACCCCATCCCGTAGAAAACTAACTCGCTAAAAGAAGAAACGTTAAACAGAAAAAATAATTCAATGAGAATAGATAAGTAGAGTATTAATATAAGCGCTAGCTATTACAATGTGCTTATTTACTGTTTTGGTCAAAAAATGATCAATATATTATAGTAAGAAAGAAATTAAAAAAATATGAAAGCATGATTATGACAATCATTACTCCTCCTCCTCCTCCTCCTCCTCCTCCTCCTCCTACTACTACTACTACTACTACTACTACTACTACTACTACTACTATTACTACTACTACTACTACTACTACTACTACTACTACTACTACTACTACTACTACTACTACTACTACTAGGACAAGACTATAATTTATGGAAGAACCAACCAAATATTTATGATTAATTTAATTTTTAAGTCCTTTTGGTAATAAAAGTAGTCAACCAACTCTCAGATGCTTGTTGAAAACTACCTAATTTCAAGAAGATTACATCAACATGTCAAGTCACTTAGACTAGTAGTTATATTGAAACGTTTTTGTCAGTATTTGGTCGGTATTATGGTTTAAAAAACCTAATCTTTCAGCGAGCGTTTATTCTTTAAACATTTGAGCCGGAATACACTAGTGTACATAACTAACTTCAATCAGTTTACGATATTGCTCATCTATCGTTCATTGTCTGCAGTAGATAACCGCTTCACACTCGATATGGTCTAAATTTGCTGATCACAGCCTTGCACTAGGACTCTTCAAATTACCTCTAGAAGTTATTCACTAATAATCGCACAACCTAGAGATTCGAGAGTACACACAAGTCTAAGGGCTTCAGTCTGATCTCCAGTAGGGTTGTGAATATACACTTTTTATAAGGAGTTCACAGTATCCTGGTTCTCACCGTTTGTTTCTAAGGGTTCACTTACTATCAATCATTAGGTCTCTATAGAAGTTTCTTTTTAATTCATAAGTATAGCTAATAAACTAGGTCTTAAGAAGTTTAACAGAACGGCATTAATAATGTTGTAAAATTTCATTTACTTATCTTAATAACATTTTGTAAAACTAAAATATCAACTTAGTTT